CCTCGAGGATGTGAATTTTGTTTTTTCTGCTTTAGGATTCATGCCCCAGGTGTTCAAGGCATGGCAAACATTCAGCATGATGCATTACCTGTCCTGGGGCAGGTGGGGACTTCCAGGCTCAGGCATGTTTAGACAAAAAACAGAGCAGCAGGAAACTCTAAATCGGGCGTTTCCACTCTCTTTGGCTCCAGTTGTTTCTTGTAATTGATACATGGTGCCTCTTACACAGGCATGACTCCACACGTCATGCCATGACCTGCTTTGATAGCAGTTGATTCTTTATGTTGCTGCTGCTTTTCCTCCATTCCCTTCCTTCTCTGCCTTTCCTCCTGTTCTTGCGTCAGTCGTTGCATTGTTTCTCTCTGCCTTCCCTGTTAACTTTTATCTACTGTGCATCCTCTGTGTCTTTACCTGTGTCCTCTTCTGTTCTTCACCGTGCTGTTCTTGGGCACTTGGTCTGGGTCCCAGCAGCAGTTAGGAATGCAAAGGAAGTATTACATGAATAGGGGTCTACTTAAGTCGTAGCTTTCGTGGAAACCGCGAAAAAGAGCATTGTCTGCAGTCACCAGGAAATAGTGCACTGATTTATTGGGAAATTGCAGCCAAACTTAAAAAAAAAAAAAAAAAGTGTCATTCATATAATAAGAATGTCCCAATGCTTACCACAATACAAAGACAAGGTGAAAATCGCTGCAGCCATAGAGCACATGACAGTCGCTGTCCGCTAGTGACGTAGACTAAGTGAAGGTGCAAGTCAGTGAAGTGAAAATGCTTCTGTTAAGGTTACCATTAATTGGTATTTCTAAACTTTTTGTAGAATGCTACAAGTAATAATAAATTGTTTGATATAAATTGAAATTCATATTGTTTATACACTTAAAATTACAATATTTTTAAAATTTAGACTCAAATTTAATATTAAGATTTATAGTGGTATGATATAATTTACTTTCCACAGAATTTGCTATTAAATAGGGTGTGTGCCTCTCCACCAATCGGCAGCGAGGGGTGGTGCTGCTAGGAAATGCCTGCAAAATCTATTCTTCATGCCGTGACCAAACCACAAAAATTGCTTTGTCTCGCTGGGAGTTGAGACCCCCGTACATGGAGTCTCTGCCTGGAATTTAACAAGGCAGTTGCTGACTCTGCCTACAGGAGACTGCAGTGCATGTGGGTATAAGGGGCAGGAGGAAAGTTAAGGTGAAACAGACCACGTACTACCATGCTTGGAGCCAGACATCAAGCAAGAGCCTAGAGCAGGGGTCGGTAACTGCTGGCACAGGTGGCAGAGCATGGCAGGTGAAGGGATTTTGCTTGTCATGTGCACATTGGGGCAAGCAGTGGGGAAAGGACTGGGGCTGCCACAACAAGGGTCAGGCCCCCTGTGGCTCTCCCGCCATCTGCTCCTGGCACACCAACATGTTACAGTCAGTTGCGGGTGTTTTTGACACTCTGCCCAAAAATGTTGCCGACCCTTGGGATAGAGACTGAAATAGGGAATGAAAAAAGGTGCACGTTTGGGTCTTGTCTCCAAGGCCTTGTGCATCCTAGCATTTCCCATAAGTGATGGTACCACACCAGCGATACCAGTGGTTGGGAGAATGGAAATGCTAACATCTTCCCTCCTGTTATTTGATTGGATCTGGATTAGCTGGCAAAAGGAGCATCAGTGGCCAGCAGAACATTCCCATGCTAGTGTTCCTGCTGGCCACTGGTGTCAATAGTGGGGGGGAAAACCTTAAAGAACAAATCGAGTGTGAGGTAGCCCAAGGATGTTCTCTTGCAGGGACTGTCCTGGACTCTCAGTTAAATAGGTGGGAAGTTCATCTGCTTGGGATCAAGAGCAACAGAAAGCAGGATCTGCACTACAGCGTTAGCTTGTGTGTGTATACTTGCAATGACGTTGTCAACGCTACTGCTGGCATTGGGTATGTTTTGTACCGTGGAATGAAATCAAGCTTGGATGATAAACTTCTGAAAAGTTTAGGGTACCGGCTGCATGAGCACTGAAGTCATTTGGCCCTCACACAATGGCATCATTTCTGGAGATGTGCACAATCAGTCTCCTCATTTAAATATGGCCTTCTCTGCTAGAATTCCCTCTTGCTTATAAAAGTAAATCCTGTTGCTGAGCAATTAGTCTTCAAAACTAGTCTGGTTTGCCCAGCGAAGTTCCTCATAGCTGGTTCCTGTGGGTGTATCAACTCTTGTTCTTGTGCTAACACCTCATCAGTGCAGTTTTACTACCTGTAGCTGTGATGCAAGTTGTGGGGCTTGCTTCTGCTCCCCAGAAACTTAACTCCCCTCCATGCCCTCTTCTTTCAGAGGGAGGGGATTACTACACATCAAGTGCTGTCCAATCATCTGGTGATTTGCACTATGGCTATGCTTACTTCCAACTTGCTCCTGCATGCTGAACTCCATGCTTATTCTTCCAGTGAAGACAATCCCTTGGTGTAGATGGGAGATGACTAATAAAGGTCCTGCTGTTGCTACATCCAGCAAAGCCTCAGTAATGGTGAACTAAATCCATCAAGTTTGCTAGCCTAGACTCTCTTCTCACTTCAGTTGTGCCATCCTCTTGGCTATTGCCAAATTGACCGCAAAGGCTAACTTGACACACAGTTTTAGCTCATCTTTAGCCACAGTAGAAATGAGGGATTACAGAAGTACAGCTCGACAGTCCGAAACAATCGGTAGTGTGTTGATTTGAGTCTGCTTGTCTGCATGCATGGATCAGTGACTAAAGTACCTCAACCTGCCTTCACTAGTCTGAAGTAGTGGTTTCATGCCATGTGACCTGGCTTCTGGGAAGCCAGTGCTGTACAGCCGTTATGTTGAGGGAACAACTCGGCTTGAGTAGGAGAATAAAGATGCAAATAGATTTGATTTGAAGTGTAACTGCTGTTGCTGTAGCTGCAGGAACTCGTTAACTGTTCTTCTGTCCAAGAGGTGTTATGTGTGAGCTTTCGTCTATCAGGTAAAGCGTGGAAGCCTTGCTGAATGGACTTTCAGCAATTTGAACATACAACGTAAAACTTTGGTTCTCCCTTTTGTCCCCCTTTATGGAACTCTTTGGGGCAACACAGCTTTCCGACTCCTAATACAAGTCATGTAGTCGCACAATAAATTGCTTCAGTTTTCTCCCATTAGGGACAAGCTCATTTTTCAGAAATAGCATTTTTAGTTAGAGGCTGAAAGATTCCTGTACTTCTACAAAACTTATTTTTTAAGTCCTCTTGCTTCAAGCGATTGGCTTTGTTTTACCATGATCTTGATGAATGCCCAAAGCCAGATGAATTCTTGCTTAGATCGGTCCCAGAAATCTTCAGTTACGACAACTTTGTCAAAATAGGGAAGGGGGAGAAAACCCCCACAATATAGAAATAGCCAATTCGGATGTGATGATCCTGATGAACGCTTGCCTGCAAGTATGTAAAATGTCAAGGATTTGGTGGATGTGAAATCTTTATTTAGTTTTTACAAGCTCAGAATCTTATCGACTAGTAAACTTTGGATTTAATTATGGTAATTTTAAGATGGTACCTTTCTGTGACAGGCTGAGCATGGTTTCAAAGTACAGTTCTGTGGGTTGCACTCCTTTGGGTTGTACTCCTTTATAATCTACACTGACCTTCAAAAGCAGATGTTGGATTGGAGGGAGATTAAATGCCCAGAGTGCAAAAGAACTTCATAAAATGACAATTTTAAAGGTGGCTTTAGAAGTAAGATACAGCTAGGGTGTTAACCGGTCTTGCTGTTGGAGTACACCATTAACTGTGGGAACTCCTTAAGTGTTGCAAGCAATGTTTCAAAGGTCTGGGAAGCAGGATTCTTTGCAGGTCACTGGACCAAAGGGATAATCTCAATTTTCCTGTTGTCCCAGTGTTCAGGTTATAACTCGTCCAGGCTTGCAAACGGAGGAGTTTAGAAGGGGAGGTTAATCTTGCTTAATAATAGCAAACTCCCAAAGGGAGGAAGGCTTAGTCCCCCCAGATGTGCAAACAAAGCTAGGCCGAGATGCTGTTTGGGGGTCTCTGTTTTATAGTGCTATTTTAGTTTCCTTCAAAGTTGTCTTGTTCTTTTTACAATTCTCCTTCTCATCTGTTCTCTTATTTTAAATGGTTCTGGATCTTTACTGGGAAGGATGGCATATAGATCATATACTAATGTTTCATATGCATAACACATGAAGAAGGCACAGCCCCCCGACTTGTTCTAACAAACCAAGATTGAAGCGTAAGTCTGACTGAGAGGCTAGATCTGTGGAAAGGAAAGTAAAACTAAAACCGTAAAGGCTAATAGTTTTAAAAAGATCCATTGCCATAAACAGAACTGAAAAAATAGCATGCCGTCTCAAATCGCTGGAGTAGTAACTGGGAGATGGACAAATGTTGTCCTGCTCAGACTTGCTTCTAAAGCCTGGCTTTTTAGGACAAGCTAAAGTCCTAGCTGGACATGAATGAAAACTGACAAAATGCACCAGAACTTATGGAAAGGACTGATATAAGTATGCCCTAAAATAACGTGGTTTTAGCCCTGTGTGAGTGGTGTCTGTACAAATAATGCTTTCCTCCTCCAATGAAAAAAATAATGCTTCTCCTCCTCCTGACATTGGTGCTATCTCTGTGGCTTGCCTTGTTTGCCTCCCTGTGGCTGGATAAAGTTTAGTCCTTGGTAGCCAGTGATTGAGCGCCAACGTAACTGTGTCCATCGCATGAAGGTCATAGCCGTACCCTAAATA